TTTACCTTATCCTTTTCCTTCAGTTTCTTACCCCTTTTTTCCCTGTCCAGATAAATGCTTGCAATGGCTTCTACTGTGACTACTTTTCTCCAAACAAGGCTTATAAACCAAAGATATGGACTGAAGCCTGGACTGCATGGTAAATACATATATCTTTTCAATGCAGTAAATAAATAAAATTTCTACTTTTATGTTGCCAGAGTTCATGTGAGGATAACTTTTGGTCGTCATTTTTTTCCGGCAGGTTTACTGGTTTTGGAAATCCAGTTCCTTACCGTCCTGCTGAGGACTTGGCATTTTCTGTTGCAAAATTTATACAGAAGGGAGGTTCCTTCATCAATTATTACATGGTATGTTTATCATTTCTGATATTCATGAGTGTTGGTGTTTCTTCTGATGCCAAGAAAATTATGTTGTTTATGACTTTCTTTTCCCTTTCTTCTGCAGTATCATGGAGGAACAAACTTTGGACGGACTGCTGGTGGTCCATTTATTGCTACTAGTTATGACTATGATGCACCACTTGATGAATATGGTATGCACCTTTTCTTTGTAATCTTGTTTCAATTGAGTTTCTTCAGTTTGTCAATTAGCTGTTAATTCTAACTTCTTATGGATGAGATTTATTGAGTATCAAGTCCATTATTTAGAACTAGGAAGAAAATTCAAAAGAGATCATCTGCATCTTAAGAAATGTATTGTTTAGCCCAATTTAACATTTTCCATTTGGTCTTTAGGATTATTGCGACAACCAAAATGGGGTCACCTGAAAGATCTGCATAGAGCAATAAAGCTTTGTGAACCAGCTTTAGTCTCTGGAGATCCAGCTGTGACAGCACTTGGACACCAGCAGGAGGTGAGATTAAATGACTGCTTCTTGAACAGGTCACTACTACGACGTTTGCGATGAGAGTAACTGGAGTTCATTGTTTCTTATACAGGCCCATGTTTTTAGGTCGAAGGCTGGCTCTTGTGCTGCATTCCTTGCTAACTACGACCAACACTCTTTTGCTACTGTGTCATTTGCAAACAGGCATTACAACTTGCCACCATGGTCAATCAGCATTCTTCCCGACTGCAAGAACACTGTATTTAATACAGCACGGGTAAGAAGAAAGGATGTACTTTCTTCCTAAAATAGTTCTGCCGCTTAGAGAATCATTCACGATCTGGAGATAGCCAACTAACTAACTGATAACGTTATTGATTCAATGTGAAGATCGGTGCTCAAAGTGCTCAGATGAAGATGACTCCAGTCAGCAGAGGATTGCCCTGGCAGTCATTCAATGAAGAGACATCATCTTATGAAGACAGTAGTTTTACAGTTGTTGGGCTATTGGAACAGATAAATACAACAAGAGACGTGTCTGATTATTTGTGGTATTCAACAGAGTAAGTGCTTATGTAGCGTTCGACTCCTCTCCACATATTGAATTAAAAGTAACACATGCTTGAACTACGTTGGATCAGCCACATGTTTATGATTGTTTTTCTGTCCTCAGTGTCAAGATTGATTCAAGAGAAAAGTTTTTGAGAGGCGGAAAATGGCCTTGGCTTACGATCATGTCAGCTGGGCATGCATTGCATGTTTTTGTGAATGGTCAATTAGCAGGTATGTGGCATAATTAGTTGTATTTGACGTGATTTAACAATTTGAATCATTACTTGTGCGCGTTATACTACAGCTTATATGTTAAAAGGAAATAGTGGTGGGCCATTTTCAGTTTATCTGTTTGCTGTTAAGTTTCTTAAATAAAAGCTGAGGCCTATTTGGTCTCATCAAGTAAATACAATAAGTATACAGTTTGTGTAATAACAAATAAACAAAAGGCCCCATCACCCTGTAACATTGTGGCGGTTTTTGTATTTACATCTCTTTGTTCAAATTTCTTGCAGGAACTGCATATGGAAGTTTAGAAAAACCGAAACTAACTTTCAGTAAAGCCGTAAATCTGAGAGCAGGTGTTAACAAGATTTCTCTACTGAGCATTGCTGTTGGCCTTCCGGTGTGTTCCCTCTCACTGTCGCCCTCTTACTTTATTATACATGCATATTAAGTCTACTATGTGCTTACTTGACCTCCTACCTCATGTGCTCAACTGCAGAATATCGGCCCACATTTTGAGACATGGAATGCTGGTGTTCTTGGGCCAGTCTCACTAACTGGTCTTGACGAGGGGAAAAGAGATTTAACATGGCAGAAATGGTCTTACAAGGTTAGTTTGTATACAATGTTGCAAAACAAGATGCCGGATGCTCCATTGCATGGTTATATAATCTTCCACGTCTTTTATCAGGTTGGTCTAAAAGGAGAAGCCTTGAGCCTCCATTCACTCAGTGGTAGCTCGTCAGTTGAGTGGGTCGAGGGTTCTTTAGTGGCTCAGAGACAGCCACTCACATGGTACAAGGTGCATACCTCATACTTAAGCTTTCTTCTGTACCAACTTGGTTATATATTTTGGCATGTAGTCATTCCTCTACAAGATTTAATACTTAAATCTTCTGTAAGCTATACGCGTCTTGAATTTCTTGGTTTCGTAAGACTAAATTTCAATTTGAATTTTGTTTTATCTATACAGAGCACTTTTAATGCTCCAGCTGGAAATGATCCTTTGGCTTTAGACTTGAATACCATGGGCAAAGGACAAGTGTGGATAAATGGTCAAAGCCTCGGACGCTATTGGCCTGGATATAAAGCATCTGGTAACTGCGGTGCCTGTAACTATGCAGGCTGGTTTAATGAGAAAAAATGCCTAAGTAACTGTGGAGAGGCTTCACAACGATGGTAAGTAATGGTAAACCTTGTGCATTTTCCTTCAATGTAACAGTAAGTCCTAACTTAACTGGGAATTATATAATTCAGGTATCATGTTCCCCGTTCTTGGCTGTATCCTACTGGAAATTTGTTAGTTCTATTTGAGGAATGGGGAGGAGAGCCTCATGGAATCTCTTTGGTAAAAAGAGAAGTTGCAAGTGTTTGTGCAGATATAAACGAATGGCAACCACAGTTGGTGAATTGGCAAATGCAAGCATCTGGTAAAGTTGACAAACCACTGAGACCTAAAGCTCACCTCTCGTGTGCTTCTGGTCAGAAGATTACTTCAATCAAATTTGCAAGCTTTGGAACACCACAAGGGGTCTGCGGAAGCTTCCGTGAAGGAAGCTGCCACGCCTTCCACTCATATGATGCTTTTGAAAGGGTATCTACAACTCTTTCCTCTTCGTTACATAAACCTGTTTCTTGTCATTCGTGAAGTAGCTATCTTCTGTACAGACCTGATTGAACAACTCTCTTTTTTCCAGTATTGCATCGGGCAAAACTCGTGCTCAGTACCTGTAACACCAGAGATCTTTGGAGGTGATCCATGTCCACATGTTATGAAGAAACTCTCAGTTGAGGTTATTTGCAGTTGATGACACTGAGGAGAAACAAATAAAAGTGGTTTCAGTTAGTTGTCTGAACATATCAAAAAGTTGGCTTTGATGGAGGTGAAGTTGTACAGATATGCAACACACCTTTCCATTTGAGGCACATATGAATTGCAATGGCCCAAGATTCTGTACATATATGTTGGTTACTGTCAAGTTGGTATTGGTTTGCAAATGTAAAACAGTAGTATAGTCATTGGTTCAAGTGCGCATCGAGATTGTGCTAGTGGGAGGTAGTAGGTACCGATCGATCTATCGTTGTTTGCACAAGCTGGGCCTAGATTCCACTATTATTATAACAAAGAAAGCACAATGAGACTGATTCTTGATTAGTCCATGTGTAGATATTGTTACTGTTGGAATTTGCAAATCTTGTGATTTCAGCATTTTAATACTCTTTATCTTATAGTAAAAATAGCAATCTTTCATTGCTTTGTACCTGCCAAAATGCTTACTACTATTGATGTGAAATAACATCAAATTCTCTTCAACAGATGTTTTTCAAATCTTATTCTTCAGGAAAATAAAAATGCAAAATTTGCTCACCAAAAGTAGAAATTGCTGAGTATTAGTTCTAATCCAATCAGGATTACCATGATTAAGACCCTATTTAAATTAATTTATTTTTAGATATTTCTAAGTCAAAATACTTATTTCATTCACTTTTACTTGCCGTAAATAGATATTAATTGATGATTAATTTAGTTCTTAGGAAAATAATTTGAAAATTGAGTAATTAACATTGAGGATATATTTCTCCTATTTTAATTTATTTGACCTAATTTTCTTTTAGTTTGTTTAAAAAAAATAACTTTTTCATATTATTTCTGCAACTTTTAGTTCTCTTGAATTTTTCATGTAATAAAAGCATATTTAACATATTTTGAATTTTAAACCATACATTTCCTTAAATTTTTATTTTACTTTCTTAAATTTCATACTAAATTAAAATAAATTATCAAATTAAACGGAGAAAATATATTTTTAGTACACTAGATAAACAAATGTAAATTAGGGGAGTAGCTTTTAACCGGTTTTTTTTAAAATTTTCACTCGGTGTTAATACTCGCAAGTCTAAATTTCATTAAATTTATGGAGAAGGGTCAAAAATACCCTTGAACTATTCGAAACAGCTCAAATATACTCTTGAACTATATTTCATCTCAAATATACCCTTCCCCTCAAATTATAGGATCAAAAATACAATTCTCATTAACAAGATATGTTAAACGCCACTTGGATGCTATGTGGATACCACATGACATGCCACATAAGTCAATAGAGTTCCATTCATGCCACGTAGAAAATAAACTTACCCCTAATTTCTCCCAATTTTCTCTATTTTCCTTAGAATTTAGAAACGATTTCATTGAAGATCATAGAACCCTTTTACCTTAGAACTTATGTATTTTGTTAAATCGTTCTAAGGAAATGGAGAAATGAGGAAAAGGGGTTATGTTCTTCAGCGAAATCGTTTCTAAATTCTACAGAAAATGGAGAAAATTGAGAAAAATTAGGGATAAGTTTATTAGTATACGTGGCATGAGTGGAACTCTATTGGCTTATGTGGTATGCCATGTGATATTCACATGACATCTAATTGACGTTTAATCGATTCTGTTAATGAGAAGGGTATTTAAACTATTTTTGATAGTTCAAGATTATTTTTGACTCTTTTCTGTTATATTTAATCGATGGATTAGAAATAACTTTAATTTATGAATGAGTACTTACCATAACACCACGATACTCTCGTGACAACACCAATAAATAGCAGATGTCACGTGTAGTCGGCAAGTCCAAAATACTCTCTCCCTTCCACAAAACCAATGAGGCCCTACCGTTAGGTACCCACAGAATCCTTGTTAGTCACCTCTTTGCTCTTCATCTTCTCCAAATCGGAACTGTGGAGATCGATGGGTCACCGGAGAAATGGTGGTGTTGTAGAAGAAAATGGAACGGTGATCGGAAATTGATAGTTTTACCTAAAATAAGAAATGAACATTCAGCAACTCAAATTTTTAGCTAAACTTGCCCTATTTTTCTTCATTATAGTAATCGCCACTGTTGATGGCTACTTAACATGGCTTATCTCTACTTCAGCTTCCATTCTGTTAGCTGATCTTTTTTCAGTACTTATCCACCGCTACTGCCCTTTTATCTCTCGTCTTTATCATTTGTTCTACCTTGAAAATCCTAGACGAACACGTCGTCATTCTGATATCCTAGCGCCATTAGTAGCGCTATTCGTAGCGCCACTGTTAAGCCACAAATTATTTGATGACATAAATGTGACTGCTTGTATGATGGTAGCAACTGCATTTTACCTTCCAATGATGCATCACTTTGGTAGACCTAGAAATTTTCGGGTATTGAATGTGTTATTTATGCTTTCTGTTAATATTTGTTATGGGGAATTTGGATTTGGGCCTAATACTTGTGCATCAGTTGCTTTTTTCACTTACATTGCTGTGTTGGCGGGACAAGCAGAGGCAGGTGCAGCTTATGAGGATGATCATCACCACTTGACGTTGAATCAGATTATGTCAAATTTGATGATAGGTACATTTTATAATGGTAATACTGACCATTGTTTTGTTATGGTAGTACGGAGACGATTACGTTAGTTAGTTAGTTCGTTAGCTAGACTGTGATTATTAGGAGAACAGTTGATGTAAGTAGACTAATATCTGTGATGCATGAAGGTTAATTGGTAATACGAATAAGGAGTGTACATTATTGCTTCTTTGTTGAGTTTTCTCAAAAAAAATTACTTGGAAGTTAATTAACTCTTCAATTCCTCTATTCGTTTGGTTAATTGTTTTATGGAATAGAGAAGGTCAACTAACACAAACACCTTATGCAATAGTTGTTCAAGATGACTAACGAAACTTCACCACGATAATGAATGCAATCTTGGAAGCATCATGTAACAGCACTGATAATATACAACATAGAATGGACTGACATTAAGAGAATAAGCTGATCTTAGTACCTTCAGTATGTGTAAATTTCAAAGGCTACCATTTAGACAAGATATAGCAGATACTGTTACAGGGATTGTGAAATATTTGGCACTGTAGACTTGATTCACCGTGATGTAACAACCCTATTCAAGATTTGTTTAATTGAATCATGCATAATACAATCATGCACCAAAAAAAGAAAACATGAGAACAGATCAATAATCGATGTTTTATTGTGTACTCCTGTTTCCCTTTGTTATCATTTGGTGCTGCCATGATCTAACCTATTATCGTGTCAAGTTACCTATGCCATCTCGAGGATTATTTCACGAGATGGTTGTGTTGTTGTCTTTTCCACCCCATAAGAAAGTGTTTTGGTAGTCAGCCTCATTGGTGCAAGTTCTAATTCCCCTGCACTTGATTAAATATAGTCACAGGTTAATTAATGTACAAGCATTTGAGCTTTAATAGTTTGCTCCATCAATGTACTTGGATTGTATTCTCCTGAGGGATCATTGAGCTTAACTTTAGGAGATGTAAAGAATGGTTGTCTCAATCAGTTGCTTATAAAAAGATTCAAGCTAGTATCAATTTAACTATTGGTCTGGTGGCTTTTCTCATCACTTGGTATGGTGGTGTTAGGGCGGTTCATTATAAAGTTACTTTTCTCCGCGATTGGTGCATAGATACTTTTTATCTTCTTAGAAACATATACAGGGATGTTTTGGTCCTCTGAATCACTTTACCACAATTCATTGTGACATTCTTTTGTAAATGCTTGTGTATATTGATCCGATCCTTGATCTCGACAGTTAACAGGAAGTTTTACTCTCTTTTGTGAATTTCTAATTGTTTCAATTTCCGTCTCTATGAAGTAATAAAAAACAGCTATTAGAAGCCATTTCATATAGCAAGTGAATTGCTTTGTATTATTGCCTTTCATGATGAGTTAGATATATCAATCCTTGTGTATAATGGCCACATGATGATTATGGACATTTTGAAGCTCAACACTGTAAGTTTTAGTTCGATTGCCATTTATGTGATGGCTGCGATATTTATTGTTTATTGAAGAAGGGAACATGGCTGCTGCGGGTGGTTGTTACCTATTTACAGCTGCAACAGAGATGAAGATCAGAATAGATGAAAGGTAGCTTCATGTTTATACAAACTGTAACAAGCTTTTCATTTTCAATTCCAATTCCAAGGCACACATGGTTTCTATATATGGTCATGAACTTTATTGTAACTGTGGAAATTAACTCTTGCTGTTGGTAACCAGTTACATTAATGTGTTAAGTTGGCCTTTTCTAAGTTTGCACTAAAAAGTTGATGTGGAAATAAAATACTCCTAGGAAGCTTTTACTCCTTTTTATATGTCATGTTCACATCAATAAGATTAGGCATTTATTTCACCTTTTTCAGAAAACAAATTTCAAATTTGTGAATGCTACATATCTACACTGGGGACTCAACATTTACTGCCTTCACCTAAATTTTTTTGTTTGTTTTGTGGTCTATTTAGTGATTTCAAATGGTAAAGAATTTGAATACATTGAGGTCAAAGAAGGCTTTATGTTGCTTTTTTCTGTGAAAGAAAATCTTCTATTTGAAGCTCTTAATTATTCTATCTTCTTTTTCCTTTAAATTTTATTCTCTTTTCTTAGAGATTAATTATCTTTAAAGCTTAAAAAAACATGTTGAGTAAACTGACAACTCCAGAAGTCAATTAAAGTTTTTAATAACGTTTTTTTTTTACATTAGTAAGTGCATTGTAAGCTGAGCTACAATGCACATCAAATTTCAAATAGTAGATGAAGGGAAAAAAAAACCTGGAAATGACTTCAAAATGGATTAAAAGCACTTCTTTATATTATCTTAAACACCTCAAAGTGTGTAAAAGTTTAATTAACTTTAAAAAATTTAAAATAAATCAATTCAAACAAACTCTAGAAATGACTTTAAAATGTCATGTTTCGGCAATTGAATTATATTTGTCTCAAGCATTATTTTTGAATTTAAAATTACCTCTTTATTAACGAGGAGAGATACATGCACACAAAAGAAAAAGATATATATAAAAAAAAACATGTTTGGATGGTTGTTATCTATTGTAATGTATATTGTTAGTTTAAATACATTATTTGTTTTAATCATTACTTAAATTTTATTATATTGTATTGTCAAATATATTTTTAAATAATAAGAAAAAGTTTTATTTTATGCCAGGAATGATTTTATCGCTATCTTGCTTTAATCTATTATTTAAATAATCTTATTTTATATTTCACTCTGTCTTTTAATAATAATAATTGTACACATTTTATTTTTCTGATACATATACAATGATTTTATCGCTATCTTGCTTTAATCTATTATTTAAATAATCTTATTTTATATTTCACTCTGTCTTTTAATAATAATAATTGTACACATTTTATTTTTCTGATACATATACAATTATCCTAAACAAAAGTTGAGTGATAACAATATATTAAATTTAATTGGGCTTCGATATCCATAAGAAAAATATAATATATAGTAGAATAGATAAATGGACTAAAAAGTATAGAGTCAGTGTATTCAGAAGAAACTGCGGTTAGACTCTGCATATCCAAAAACTCCAGTGCTAACTACTGTGTGTCTCTGTTTTCTCTTCTGTAAATGACGCATTCCCATGGCGGCCACTACTAATTTTCTCTTATTTTTCTCCACTTCTGAACCATTTTCTCCACCCTATTGCCACATTCATCACCACCACCAACAGCAGCAGCAATCAGTATTGTCCCCTTTATTGCTTTTCTTCTTCACTTTCTCATTTTGTTCTCTCACCATTCTCATTTTTTCTCTTTACTCTAAGCTTACTAAGAAGAAGATTAATGACACCCACAAACACCTAATTAAAGTCCGACAAGACTCATCTATACAACAGGAATCTAAGAATGATGAAAAACCAGAGATTACGCATCAATCTGAACCGAACCATTTCACCCATTCTATTCTTCTCGAGATCTTACCTTCCAATTCACCTAAATGGGCGAAACTGTTTGGTAATGAATTGGGTGATGATGCCCCGAATAAGATTGAATCGGCTCTTGATGCGGAAAGGGTTGAACAGGATAAGGATAAAGAGAGGACGAAGAAAAAGAAACGGGCTAAGAAGAAGAGACCCGATTCGAATAGTGAAGAGGAAGGGAAGACGGATTCTGGGGTTGTGAAGGAGAAAGAGGAATTGGTGTGTTTATACCCTTTTACCAAGTCTTCTAGTGCAACTCAGAGGAAAATTAAGCAACATTACGATGAGCTTGTTAAGTCTCACGAGTCGAATGGATTGACTTTGGCTCAGGTTTTGTTTCTCTTTCTTTTGTATGTTTCATTATTAATAACTGTATATAGAATATACTCTGAATTAAGCAAAGTTTGTGGTTTGATGTGTTTATTGTTGAATTGGAAGTCTGTTCTTTGTATGTATGATTAAATTTATGTGCATACAAACACTTCACTGGCATAACTTACCTCTGTGTAATGTTTGTACTGAGATTCTGAGTAGAGGGCCTCTCGGATACAGCCTCTCTATGTACGGTTTAAGTCTGCGTACACTCTATCCTCTCCCAACTCCACTTAGTGAGATTTCATCGGGTATGTTGTTTGTTCTATATTCAACCTTCATGATGAAGGATATCTGCATTTCAAACTTGAATATGAATAGTACTTCCTTTAAGGTTTCATGAGCTTGACCATTGGTTTAGCTTAATTTTAACACTTCATAAGGCTAAATCTTGGCATACGTTGGTACTAGGTAAAAGTGTAACACAATTCTATGTTTGCCAGCAGTTGGATAGTAGGTTTCCTTGCCTTTTTAATGATTTCTTTGTCTTGTTCATAAGACAGGAATTAAAAATTATCCAGGTTAGTGTCTGTTTTTTGAAGCTACTCCAGTCTTATTCAAGAGTAACAGTTTTGGAGCTAATTAGTTTGTTTTAGTGAAGACACTTAGTTGGAAGGAAAATATTAATCTGAGGTAGTAGGTGAAAGAAATTGTTTAGGTGTACTGAGTCAATTAATTAATTGGAAGGAAAATATTAATTCAAAATTTGGTCAATGTTTATGATTAATTATTAGAGTCAAGTGGTTGATGCCAAACGACTTGAAATAACAAATCAACAGCTGACAGGGACAAAGCATAGATAAGATACAGAGTCAAAGTTAGAGGGAAATTCCATTAGGCATCATCTGGACAATATGGTCATAATGATAGCAAGTGTTTTGAAGGGAAAGAGGAATACATTTCATTCCGTAAAGTCTATCCAAAAGCTATACTTTGGGTTAACATGTTAAAAAAAAAGATCTGCACTTTTGGATTAGGAGAAACATTGTAGATGATGTAATGATTGTTAATAAAATTACCTCAATTTTTCAGGTGTCTATGCATTGAATGAGTATCCACCTTAGATAGGGATCAAGAAATTGACTTCTTGGAACTTTGTGAAGTATTAGCTTTTCACTGGGGGGTAGCTTATTGGTAGCCAAATCCATAGATATGAGTAATGGTGCATCTCTCTTGTGTGATTAGTCTATCAGCATATCCTCAGAGAAGGTGCGGATGAAGGTGTGCCTGAAGCACAGTGGAAAACACCTCAACTTGCTAGTGAGCTCAAGGTGCCCCTTGAGAATGCATTTCAAGACAATGCTCCTCACGACCTTCAAGACTGAGGGCCAACACCAGGCTTGGTCTCTTCAAAGTTCTCTGCCTTGAAGATATGATTCTGCATCAGGATTTTGAGTTATACCTTGTATACGTTAGCAAATGGAAACATCTTTCCAGTTTGTGATATCAGTTTCAAGTTTGTGCTAGCTCGTTGCTTATCTAAATGGAGTATTAGGAATTTAGGGATATGCAGCAAGTGCTCAGCAAGAACACTATTATTTTGCCCACACTTTTTATCAACTACCAGCTTGTAAAATCTTTGTGAGTCCAAGACATATCAGCACAACACCGACAAACCCAGTATATTCTCACAAGTGGAGTCGAGGGAGGGTGTGGTGTATGCAGACATTAACCCACAAAGGTAGGGCAGAGAGGTATGGAGGAAAATTATGCTTGGAGGTGACCAATGAAGAAGAAACATATTATGTAGTTAATTAGCTGATCGGGAAGTATAAATTTCAGTCAAGGCTTCTTGGTTGCATGGGATCATATTTGTTGGGTGGCACTGATGATCCATGCTTCTTCTCTCTTATCTGATTTTCCGAATGCACAGTAGGATAATTGCTTAACAGGCTGGCTTAAGAAATCCTTCATTAGATGAAGTTCCTGTGATGTAACTTAGGTCACTCATTTGATCTTTCTATTGGATGGATTAGTGGAATCAAACATCTGTCGAACATAGTGCAAGGTAGACAAAAATGGGTCGGTTTAGATTTGACAGTCATGGCCTTTTTGTTCCAAGTGAACCAGAGAGAAGTTCTGTGATACCAACCTTCTTGTGGCATATTCTGCCTAAAGCTGTCTATGCCACTCTTGAGAAGTTAGAACTTCACAGTAATGCATTAAAGTTACAACTCATGACTAATCTATTAGCATAGCTATCCTGGTATTGTCATATGATGTGTACATCTACAGAGAGAAGTTTCCATTTGGGATTTACTATAGTTATGAATGGACGACATAACGGTATTTACCATTGCTCTCCTACTTCTGTCAATTCAAATGAAGTTAATATTTTATTTCATTAAAAGATTAAATAATGGAATATAATCCAACTTGATTGAGTGAGTGTCATTCTCCCAAGACATTTTCTCTTAGGATTTTCATTCTTTTGTTTTAGATATTTGGATTGGCTTTGATTGTGTAGATTTTTGAAATTCGTAAATTGTTGTTTTATAATGCAGGTTGGTCAATTTGTTAATTGCTTGGTTGAAGCAAGGAATGAGCTACAGCACAAGTATGTACAATATTATTTATTTTTTTTCCATTCTATGGTCACAGTATATTCATCAGCACAAAATTTTATGCCAGGAGCCAGATTTACGAAAGATCCATGAGGCTAAAATATAGCTACTTACAAAGTTATGACTGCTTATGATTTTGACATTTCTTTTCCCAAGTGTTTTCCAGTCCTGAACACATGCAAATCAACCTTTGTCAAAGATACCTCATTTTGCCACCCTCACCCCTTTCTTCTCCATCCAGATTCCAGGCCTTCTGTTTTCTATTAGGTTTAATTCAATGACTACAGATTGTATCGCATGAGTCATGACCTTAGAAAGCACCAATTTTTAATGTGTTCATTGGTCCTCTCGCGCAACATTCTCCTTTGGATGAAGTGTTCTGCTATATGTTTTATGTCAAATTTGTACTCTTCCCTTGTGCA